GCCTTTCCCTCGATCGCTCTTACTTGCAATTGGTTCCGGACTCGTATAGACTCAATATCTACATAATATAATTTCCAAGACATTATCAAAAACCTAAACATTATAATTTGATTCTAATAACTTAAGCTACTTAAGGAACAAAATTCACATTTTCCCCTCATTAGGTATTGATACCCCTAAGTATGGTACCGGTACTTCCTTTAAGAAGGGTATCGATACACTACTGGGGTATCAGTACCCAATTTTAATTCGATTTTTACAGGTATCGATACATACCTGATGGTATCGATACCTCTCCTTTAGGTATCGGTACCTGATGAAGATGTTCATCAAAATTGGTCTTAGGGTATTGATACCCATTCATAGGGTATCGGTACCCCTTGCCCAAAAATCACGTTTTAAACTAGAAAATTCACTCAATTCAGCTACTTCATGTTTGTACCCTTTTCACCCACTTAACTCAAGTATACATATATAAACCAATTTCTATTCATTCAATATGTCCTTAACTTCAAAATCTTATTCCCCATATATAAATCAAGAATTACACCAAATTTTCAACATGTTCTAATTCCAATTCTATTGCTTCTAACTTCTTAATTAGACCCTTGACAAGTCAAATTCAACTTCTAAATCTATTGACTCCTTCTATTTCAATAATTCACTTAAAAACTCCTTTTACTTAATCTCTCATAACTTGTTCATCTTGGAGTTTTAAATCATTTAAATATTCTCTTAAGCTTTCTTATCACTCTAGGAATCAAAAGAAATCTTAAAATTAAAGAAACAATTAAGTTGAATCCCACTCACCTTACCATTAAAGCCACGGGAAGAGAAGAAGAAGAAGATCAACCAAGACTCCAGAGCTTTCTTCCTTTCTCCTTATCTCCACGTGGTCCACTCCCTTAAAAAGGGAAAATAAAAATCTTTCATTTCCAAATAACCATTTTACCCTTTACTTCATTTAATAATTACCAACAATCCCTCACAAAATATTTCCAAATGAGTCCCTAAACTTTACAATCTTTTGAAATCATACCTTAAAGTTTTAAAATTTACATTTTAGTCACTAACCCTAATTTTGGGATATTAGATAATCCCTCATGATAATTCAACCATAAAACATAGTTTATACTTGTATGAACCAATTTTAATTCAATTACGTTAATAGTTACTCTAATTAAATATTTTAGTTCATAATTTTCTCATGTACTAAATTTAAGCTTATATATTAAATTTAATATACAATTATTAAAATATAAAATAATTATATATACATTGAGAATAAATCATTTAACTATTTGTATTGTATACTAAAAAATTAACTATTATCGATGTGTTATTAAGGTAATTTTTCTAAGTATATGTTAGTTGTTAGTTTAATATTCAGATTTAATAAGTGTATATTAAATTTATGGCCAAATTAGTTGATTCCACCTTAAAATCAACAGATTTAAGCAAATATCAAGCCCAAGCTAATCTTCCTTATTCTCCATGCCAACCGTATCACTGTAAAAAAGGCCCAATTTAGTTGTACTCCCAGTCCCACAGGCCACAACCAATGTATATTGCCTGAAAGGCTGAACATTAAGCATCATATAATAACGTAACCGGGTGTTCAAGTAAAATTTTAACAAATAGCACTTCAATTGAATTATTAAAATAGATTTTTTAAAGATAAAACATGTAATTTCAAGTTTTAATGTAGTACGAAGCGACTGACCTCAGTGATAAAAGAATTATTGTTATTCTTTAAGGTCATAGGTTCGAGCACAAAAAATATCAGAAGTATGAGTATTTATGTCAAATAGTTTGGAGTTATCTTTGTTTGTACTCCAAATAAATTTTTTTAAATGTATTTTAGGAAATGCAAGATATGTATTTGTTTGAATGAATATTGTGTAGATTTTAAAAATATATATTAAATGAATTAAAAATAAAATGAGATCTATAATATTTTTAATACGCACGTCATTAGTTTAAAATTTTATATGATATGATTATTTTATTTTAAATTAAAATTATTATATATTAAATCACATAATATATAAATACTCAAATAATGATTTTTAAAATTTTGACAAATGGATACTTCACTTTTTATATAAAAAATTAAATCTTATAATTATATTTAAATATATTATTTAAATATTAAAAATATTATATAATATATTTTAGTTAATAATTTTGTGTATGGCATGAAAAGGAAAATTAGTTAAAATATAAAAGACATTTAATTTAAGACATTGGTGAGGCCGTGGAGAACCACTGTTATTTCATTAATTTATTATTATTGCAACCAGCGAACACCTCAAGGTCTTATCGGGGCACGTTCCCCCACGTGTAGCACCTCCCAATTCCCCACTTAGAGTTTCCCCCTTTTTTTAATTTACTTAATTAATTAGTAAAAAAGAATAAGTTTAAATTATAAATGAGTCTATAATGAGTAATTTATTGAAATACACCATTAATGACATGCATTAAAATGCACCACTAATTAAAATAGAGTAAAATTCATAAATAATTATATTTTTTTTAAATTGATTTTATTTATTATCGAATTTTTAAAAGTTACAAAATAGATATTAAACTTTGAATCTTGTTAAAAAATAAATAAAAGTCGTTAAATAACATTAAGGGTGAATAACATGTTAAATTAATGAAAATATATTATTTAGTTCCTCAATTATAACTAAAATTTTATTTTAATATATTAAGGGTGAATTTTTAAGTAGTAATTCTAAAAAATTAGATTTCTTTTAAATATATGAAAGTAAATTATTTTTAAATTTTAAAAATATTTTAAAAAAATTTCAGTTATCAAACAATGAAAATATTTTTTATTAAACAAAAGTTAATTTATAACTAATTGTTTATTTAATTGTTGTTGTATTTTTAAAATAAAAAATTTATAATTTTTGACGTACGAAAATTTATATTATCAAATAATAAAATTATTTCTTATTAATGATGCGATTTAAACATTTAAATTTTATTTAACAAATTTAAATGTAATTTAAACATCATTACATTCATAATTTTATAATATCATATCAAATAATTTTTAATTTATATGGTACAAATTCAATATTTATAATATAAAATTCAAAGTTGATATTTATTTTATCTATATCTATTTTATTTTCAATTTAAATGATCAAAAGGATAATTTTGTCATAGTTTAATGACCCATTTGTAAATTTTACTTTATAAAATTAGTGAATTTTCCTTAAATTATAATGTTTTAAATGGTAATTCCTTTATTTATAAAATGAAGTAGTAGTATTATTGCAAAAATTAGTTTACAATGAAGAATTAAATTAATGATCTAAATATAATATTTTATGTGAATATGTGTAATTAAATCGGAATAGTGTTAATCAATTATAAAAAAAATATTCAGATAAAAAAATTCAGAAATAATTAATTTATAACACGAATGAATACACAAAAACATTAATATATATAAAATAAAATTTTAAATATTTAAAATAGTTAAAATTAAAATAAATTAGATTACAAATTTGAGCATGATGTTTATAAATATAAATATAATAATGCATGACATGTATAGTAATTCAACTTAAACATAAGTTCAATATAAAATTAACAAAGCTGGGCTTAGTCTATTGGTTGGACACTAGACCTAGATCCCTATCCAACTATTTATGCAACTTAAATTTTATTTAGTTTAAAAATAATGTTATTGATGTTTTTGTTTAAAAAAATTGTTCAATAATCAAAATTAGAGAGAAACAATAAATTATTGATTATATGAAATATTTTATCTCAAATTAAGTTATTTTGTTATCGTTCTTCCGATTCTAAAGTTTTGTCTTGATTATTTTAGACCGTTTCGTGTCGCACACCTAATTTTAATGTATGAGTGTCTAAGTAGATATTTTTTATATTTATAAAGACTCGAACTTAATATCTTATTTAAATTATTTTATTTTTAATTTATATTAGGTATAGATAACGATCGTGTTACTCAATTAGTGTAAATTACGTTATCAATTGGATGAAGCGTGCTGAGTGAAAGATTAGACATTATGTTGTCATCTGGGATGCAAGCAAGGACCCCACCCCTAGGCGCAAGTAGCTTTCAAACAATGATACATATATAAATCATATGCCAATCCATGCATGAGATGATAACTATTTGCGGACAAAGTCAAGGAATATCTGCGGTTCCATTGACCTATCAACTCTCTGATTAAGACTGTTCATTAATGAAAAAATAGTTGCAAAATTCGTGCTTCTGCGATGAGTCAGATTAAGCCTTCCATATTTTTTCTCTTAATAAAAGGCTCGGGTTTTTTTAGGCACTTCTGTAGATTAGTTAACAAGACAGATGATTTTGTTGTTTCTCCGGTAAATGTTTGCATTCAAGATTATTTTTAAAACCTCAGTTTGATACGCACGAAATTTTAATAAACTATGGCTGCCAATAAGTTTTTATTATACAAACCTAAATGTCACCTCAAAACGTGAATGCTGCACCATGGAAATAGATGCCCTGCCCTGCCCTGCAAGTTGGAAGACAAAAAGGTAAAATCTATGGAGTATGGAAGTTTCGAAAGTGTGATGTCATTACTGATCATTTGAAAGGGGTGAAGTTTGGAGAATTTGGCCCGTAAATATAGATTTGGTCATTAACAGCAGTTTGAAAAGCATAAACTTTTTGCAAACTGATAAATTCATCCCTAAAGTTTTCAAGAAACTGGATTAACCTGATTTCAGATCCATCTTCCTCCCAGTAGAAAGTCATTCTAACCAAGTCAACATCAATCATATAAACTCAACTTAATTTGAATATAGGTTTTGTTTAACTGGATTGAATACTATATTACATGGTTGATGTCTCTATGTTACTTGTTGTATATGAAATAATGAATTAAAATGGCTGGTGGCTTCAGATTCTTCACTCGATTCTTTTCACACCATGGAATGACGTGAAGGAGGTCCATATTTTAATTTAAAACTTTATAAATATATAGACCTGCACCTCTCACGACCAGGCAGTGCATAAGGAACCAATGGATGCATCAAGAAATTACCCTCAGCAGTTCTCAAACCAATTTGAACTGTATGATTTCGTCGATGATCCGAATTTCGATCAGTTCATCGATCTAATACGTGGAGAAACTGATGATGCCGTCGGAGGATACGATTATGATCTTATCGAAGGCATTTTTGTTGATGATAAGCATATTAGTTCGACACCTGGGGAATCTTTTGGCCTTGATGCTTCAAGCACCATTGCCCCTGATCCTAACTCTGTTTTCGATCCGCTGCAAAGTTTTTGTGGAGAAATGATGAAAGATGGTGAGGAAGATAACGATGAGGAACACTCTTCCGGGACAACCACAGGGACCGCAACCACCAACACTACGAGTACAACATCAAAGAAAGGAAAGGTTGATCGGTCGAGAACTTTGATATCGGAGCGGAGGAGGAGGGGTCGGATGAAGGAGAAGCTCTATGCATTGCGTTCCCTGGTTCCTAACATAACAAAGGTACGTGTAAATGCTTCCATTATTGGAGATGCCGATGGATAAGGCTTTAATTTTCATTTGGTTACTGCAGATGGATAAGGCTTCCATTATCGGAGATGCCGTACTGTATGTGCAAGACCTGCAAACTCAGGCTAAGAAGCTAAAAGCCGAGATTGCTGGACTTGAAGCAACATTGGCAGGATCTGAAAGGTACCAAGAATCGGTTGATAACACTTTCAAGATTCAAGTGGCAAGAACCCACGGCCATCCAATTTGCAAGAAGATAATGCAGGTAAAAGATAAACAAGAACAATCCCTTTGTTTTTTACAGGCTCATTTTCTTCCAAGAAGATGACGGTTTTAACTCAAACGTCGATGCAGTTGGATATGTTTCAAGTGGAAGAAAGAGGGTTTTACGTTAAATTGATATGCAACAAAGGTGAAGGTGTTGCAATATCACTTTACATGACCCTTGAGTCCCTCACTAACTTCAAGGTTCAAAACTCCAATTTGGCCACTGTTTCCGACTGTTTTGTGCTAACATTTACTCTAAATGTAAGCTATCCGATTCGGGTTTGAGTAGAAGTTGACGTTTTCCTTTGCAAACTGCTCAGCTGCTCTTGTTATGTAAACTGCAGGTCAGAGATTGTGAGCAGTCTGTGAACTTGCCAAACCTCAAGTTGTGGGTCACTGGGGCTCTTCTGAACCACGGATTTGAGTTGGTAACACCTTTATTATCCTAATCTGCATCGCCTGTATCTGTTAATGATGGTAGTTCATCATCAACAAGGATGTTCCATAACTGTTAGCATGCTATGTAACACTTGTATTTTCTTTATTACTAGAGGTTCTTCCAACATGATCACCAAAACCAAGAGCTTGACACTCTTTACCGATAGATTTACACAGATTGTAACGATCATTTTCTCTTTCCCTTTTTTTTTTACGAGTTTTAATGATCTTTGGCATTGAGATCCTGCCTCGAAGACAAAATCGTACCAATATTCGTGCATCAGCGTAATAAACAATCTAAAATATAAATGAAGCAGAAAATTTATAAATTAATCTAACTTAACTGAAGAAGCATTTTGTTTTAATTTATATTTACTCTGTTGCCGACTTCAATATCTTTTGAGCCAACGGCTAGCACGATTTTTCTGCATATTCTCTTTTTTGAGCTGACATTCATGTTGATATTAAGTGTTTAGTGGGTTTATATTATATATTTTGATGTTCATGTTAAAGCTGATACCATCATCTACCTTCTTATATATATATTTTTTATTAAGTTAAGATGATTATAAAGTAGTATGTGTTCTAAATACTATTAACCATTTGACAATGAATGCTCAATCGCCATGTTACAGTCTTTGGTGTTCAAACCTGTGATTTCTAAGAACAACAAAGATTCTTTTAACTAATTGGGTAAGTGGGTTCGTGCCCTTCCTATTTATTATTTTCTATAAGGTGATATCTATTCAAAAGATTCTCAACCCACTTTACAATAAACGCTCGAATATCACTGACGTACGATATATTCAAATCCAAAAACTCTAAAAATATCATTTATCCTTTTTAACGTTATGGAAGGTAAACATTATGAAACTTCATATGTTAAAATTTTGCTATTGAATATGGAAAGTCAACTATAGTGTTGAACAAATTAAAATATTATATTTGTGTTATGTTATTATCAATCGTGTTTATGATACTGATTAATTCTTTTTGACCATAAATTGGTCTTATAGTTGTTAATATCCGTGTTATTGGTAGGGGCGGACTGAGGCAGGGATTGTCGTCTCCTAAAAATTTAAAATTATCATATATTTTAAATTTTATCTATATATTTTTTATTAAAAATTTATTTTCATCCACTTATTATAAATTTATAAGTTTAAATCCACCCACTGAAATTTTATAAGTTTAAGTTAGTTCATCTAACATAAAATCTTGCATCTATCTCTAATTTATAGTATTATTCCAAGACTTCATGACTCCATCTTATAAGTATTTTTAGGTTTAGTTGCTCTTCCGAAGTGGATTTTAACGCGTAAAATTTCTTTTATATAAAAAATGGTTGTCCCTTTTTCCCATATATATATGGGGTAAGGGGGAGGTAAGATAGTAGGCTACCCCCAACATCAGGTTGAGAGCAGCTTCCGTAAGAGACCTCCGTGGAACTCGATTCCACGACCTCAAGATTAAGAACCTTGTGCTCTACCAACTGAGTTGGATGATCATTTTCCGTAAAATTTCTTTTATATCTAGATTTTAAATCTTTCAATCATATATATATTTTTTGTAGTATGAGGATGATGACAAAAATGGATGCATGTGTACGGATAGAGCTTATTGCATTTGAATCTCATTATTTCAGAGCACATGGTTATATGAAATGGAGATTAAGTAGTAAATTGAAGCATGGCACATTATGAGAAAGTTTGATACTTTAACATCCGGATCGAGCTTTGGACAAGACACTTTCATATTTGGGCCACTGTCTCTAACCAGATGGCTCGACCACCTGGAAGCCTACTCTTTTGGGCTTAATAATTCTGGATGACAGCCCAGTATTTCAAAACTCTTAAATAATTCATGGAGTATTATAAAGTAAAACAAAGGAGATGGCATGGCCCCAGGCTCAACAAGGTTGAGTTTTTCATTGTCATGTTCATTTAATTATAACAAATAACAAATTTAATTTAATGTCACATCTAAGTTAGTTGTTGATTGGATTTTTATTATAAATTATCTCATCTAATTCTAAATTATTGATTTATTTTATAATTGTGTTAAACTTTTTTTATGATATACTATATCATATGGTAGAGTAAAACAAATTAAACTGAACATGTCAACTATCTTCGGCAGATCTCATCTCAGTTTGAACTTTTTAGATATATTTTGGGTAAACTGCACAGTTGATCATTAATGTTTGAGGAAGTTTTTGTTTTCTCCACTAATATTTCAAAAGTTACATATCGGTCACTAACATTATCGATTTGTGGTGAGCTTGGCAAATGGGTTAAACGTTAACAGGGAGAGCAGCGTTCACCAGGGAGCTTTGCCAGAGGCACGGAGCCACGATTCGAAGATAGTGTCGGGACCCAAGAACGCTGAGAGATAACGGGTTAGATGAGAACATTTTCTTCTATCTATACTTTTTTCAAGGAGAAGATGTTGGTCTCCAACGTGGTGGTCAACCCTATCCATGTCAACAGTTAATGTGCCAAATGTGCTTTTCGTCATGTCTGTTAACGGATGTTAACGTTAATTGATCGTTTTGTAACTAATCGATAATGTTAGTGACCGATTTGTAACTTTTTGAAATATTAGTAGGAAAAACAAAAGTTATCTCAAACATTAGTGACCAACTGTGTAATTTACCCTATATTTTTTGCTCAACATAAACTTTTTGATATGGTTTTTTGTGTGCGTGTGGGGGGTGTTAATGCTACATTTGACTTTATATCGAAGAAAACGAGTATTTAATAATACACTTGTATTTAAAAAAATTAAACAACGTGCTGTATGTGGTATTAACTTGTTTACTAATGTCTTACTTATCCAAGATTAATTGATAAAATAATGATACACAACTGATGCAGGGGGATCCGAGACAGATGATGCTGAGCTGTCAGATTGCACGTTGATGGCGCTGAGATACCATGAGTTGGCAGATTAGCGCAAAGGCGGGAATTGATTGTGACATGTTCTTCATTGGGGTCGTTTTGAGTATGTTTCAGTCTTTTGGCCATAACTTTGGCTACAGGTGTCAGAATCGCGCATAAGACCCCAATCCGGAAAACTCTTTTCAACGCGCACGCTCTCCACATGAGCTACGCTCCATGTGGCCTTTTTTTCAACATCAAATTCTGCCGTTTTCCCCTCCGAATCACTAGATTTAGTTATTTTTTACTATTTATGGTAATATTTCGATTGTTAATTAGGAAGTCAATTTAAATCCGATTTAGGCCGGATTTTTGGGAGATTGCTTATTTTATTTCGAATTTCAATTTATAGTGATTTTCAGAATTTTGCTATTTTTGGCAAAATTCGAATAAAGACGATTTTTTTGCTATAACAGTCCGGCTTATGGACTGCTTTTTGGGGATGTTTTTGATTTTATAATATTTTATTAAACCCTAGAGACTTTTTTTCTCTGGTTTTTGGGCGAATTTTCTCTTGTGAATCGTCTGTCGGAGCTAGCCTACAGGATAATCACTATTCTGTCTGGCGTCAACAACTTTTATAATGTCATGTAATCAGTAATTATATATATATATATATATATATATATATATAAAAACTGAAGTAAAGAAACACTATTTAAATTTAAATCTAAGAATAATAAGATGTACAAATTGTACAATATAAGTTGGTGACGCAAGCATTGAGTAAAATAATTAGGAAGAAACCCAATGCTGTAAACCATTAGGTTGAAATTAAGGAAAAAAAGGAATATCAATAGGTAGGCCACCTATGCAGAACTCTCATCAACCAGAAAATTCGCAAGAAAATGCCCCATCTTTTACACCAAACGAGCATGAAATATGCTTATTTATTTTCTTTTTCTAGACTCTGAGATGTACGTATAGGATGCTATGCGTATGCTATATGTCTTTACCTTTACCTATGTAATCATTCTTTTTTTAAGCATTGGTTCAAATCACGGCTTCGATGTTGTTAATATAACTTTAGAGGTCAATTTATAAGTTTTTGAAGTTAAGTGATCAAAATGAAAAAAAAATGACCAATTATGTAAATTATCTTAAATAATGAGATTTTATTGCAGCAATTAATAGGAACGATTTAAAAGCTGGTTAGGTTGATTTAAGTTGAATGAGGAGAGTTTTAGGGCTTAAATCACAAGGCAGTTGTGAGATGCGAGTGTGTAAAAGAGTGGTAGTAGTGTGAAGCCTAATCTAAGGGATGGAGTTGGCATAAAGTCATTGTTTTCAGTGTAAATTACTTTGGTATTGATAGCTACCGCTGCCCTTATTTTTCTTTCGCTTCCTTCTTCACCCAGTAGTTATGACTTCTCAAAAGCATCACATATCTGCTACTGCAAGTCATTCCTCAAACTACCTCTAGCCTCAATTTTCCCTCTCTTTTTTGTAAGCCTTAATTTAACGATTATATATATATATATATATATTAAGAATTAAACTTTAAATTTATTAAACATTGTTTAACTAGGGTCCGGATTATGTGTAAAACAAAATAAAGATTATGTCACATTTAATTTAAACTTTTCTTTTCTCTCCTCTACTTTTAACTGTTTGCTATATTTTGCTTGTGAACTCAGTGTACCTGTGTATCTTGGATTTATTTTCTATTTGTTAATGCTTATTAATTGTCCTTTTTATACCTGCAGTGGCTTTTCACTGAAATTATGTAAAGACGAGTTGACAAAATATTTTATGTTTAAATTAGTAAAGCTAAATGCACAAACCAACTTACTTTAGTGGTTAAATAAATCGTTGTTGTTCTTAGAGCTCACGGGTTCGAGCACCAGCAGTTGTACTAGGATGATTGAATGTTCATTGTCATATGGTTAAGAGTAAATACTACTTTATAATCAACTTAACTTAAAAAAATCACAATGCGTACACTAAGTCAGGCAACAAATAAATTTGAGTCAAGTTAAACAATTCAAAGCAACGCAAACAAATTAATCAAACGAAATATCAAGTTAATTTGTTGAAATAAAACAAAATCGTCAAAATTAGTTTGAATTTTGAATGAGAATGCTAAA